GCTGCATAATTTGCTGTTTGGTATGGTGAGTGACGAGACCCGAAGGCTCCATACGATCTTAGTTTTCACGGGTAACAAGGCATATTCATTTTGTTTTTTAATCGAGGATCGATATATGCGTCTATGGCTCACATCTTCCACTTACATTAGGTGAAGTGGGTGCTCGTGTGTCCGCTTTCTATCCTTAGCAATACAAAATAATTTAAAATTAAAAATTTTGTACAACCGACTTCAATATAAATTATTAAAAACAACTCAAAAACTATTGGTCGGACCTTGATTTATATGGGACCACATAAGCACCAGCTTTCAAATAAAAAATAATCATCGAAATCGGTTCACCTAGAAAAAAGTTATGAGGTAACACACATAAAAAAAGAACATGCAGTCTAATTGAATACCATCTCCTTTTTGAAGTCGGCAGAAAAGATACTTCATGGTAGAGCCGCACTGAGAGAATGAGTCGGATCGAATTGAGAATATGTCGTGGGAAAGGACCACGCTTGCACAGAATACTAAACTATGACGCATGTAGGTAGTGTGTGCTATATAGCAGTATAATGCATGTAAACAATGTTTAGTACAGTGAATGATGCAAACTGGAGACCCTTTTTACTAGATAACGAGACAGTCTATTTTAGTCTTCACGGGAGACAACGCAATATGCATTGAATGCATATAGTTGAATTTGTTATGTACATATAATTATTGGTCTGGTGATGTTGGATGTTCTAGTTAGTTGGTCTGTCTATAAACTGCAGCATCCACTTACCATCATGTGGAATGTGTGCTCCTTTGTCACGTACCATAGTTCGACCACCTACAGGAGCAGCGATACTAATAGCAATAGTATAGTCTCTTAGGTGCAAAACGTTTTATGTATAGCTATCGTCCATCACCTACCTAGCATGAACAGTATCTTAAATTATAATACAATTATTAATTATATATACTACTCATTATAATGATCACCTAGCTTTTGGTGCAAAAGGACTGTTAGAAAGAAAATGCATCCTTCCTTTTCTTTAAAAATATTTCTCTATTTTCTTTTTTGCATGGCAGATTATGATATATCAAGGAAACATTATTTAAGACAGAAATATTAAGTTGCATATTAAAACTATAAGAGGAAGGTTGGCCAAGTTGACTTTCTGCAATCTTTTAAGCAAATATAATATTATAAAAATGAATGTAATTATGTACCTGTTGTGTCAACGTGAAGTGGATTTCATTTATTTTCAGCCAAGCAATTAAAACGAAAAGTAATTTTAATGTTTCGTAACTAAATAAATCAAAATGGCTGACACGCACATCATTATTAACAATAATCTTTACGATTTATTAGCTTATTCATACAATTCACTAGCTTATGAGACGTGTACTTTAATGACGCTCGTTAGAAAGCCAGCACGCTATTTTGTTTGCCAATAGTAGTTAATAAACAAAAGATGTCGACAGAGGTGATAAAGTATCCTATAACTATATGGGCGTATGTTTGTTGCGAAACATTTTATAATTCTTAGTCCAAGTAGACTACACATAGATACACAAGATAATTATTATAAAATACATAATTAGATATATATTATGATTGTACCACGAATGGGTTGGCTCGACCAAGGTCCATTCGACCACGCCCTTACAGAATACCAGCATAAAATAGCAGCTTAATGCTGCTGTGTTTCGTATTGTGTGTTTAGAGTACTGGAGACCCTTTTTACTGGAAATGAAGTATTCCATTTCAGACCTCAGGGGTGACAACGCATCTGCATTTTATTTCTTAATTGAGGATAAATGTAGATCTCTACGGGCCACTGCACTTACCATCAGGTGGACTGTGAGTTCATTTGTTACCCTCATTCTATTAAAAAATAAATATATAACCGTGTAGTGGTGGGTACCGTGTAGCGACGGTGTAAGAATATTTACTGTCCCATAAATCCCGTGGATGTCGTAAGAGGCGACAGAGGGAATACAAATCGGGAGATGGGCAGCAGCGTCTTCCTAATAACGACTAAAAATAAAAAAAAAAACAACTAACTCATTTACCAAGCGTGACAAATATGGCAAATATCCCTCTCTATGAGGCAAGTTATGGGGAGGCTGGGCTTTAATAGGCTGTAACGGTATAATAATTTATAAAAGTCACAAAACCCACCATTCGTTGTTACTTTAAAAAAAAATTATAAAGCCGTCTTATGGATCGTTATTTATCTTGGATTCGCCTGTCTTGTTTTGTCGTGTATAGCTCGAATGATTAATGAGTACTGTTTATATTAAAACCCGTTGCACAGTTAAACACTTTCAATGAAAAATTTACTGTTATCTTTATATATAAAAATTACGTTTCACGTTGTTTGTCCGCGATGGACTCCTAAACTACTGAAATGATTTCAATGAAATTTTGCACAGTGTGTGCAGTTTGATCCAACTTGAGAGATAGGATAGTTTTTATCCCGATAAATGATCCTCAAAATTTTTTATTGCTAAATTAAGGATTTTTATAGGAAGGGTCGTTGGAAAGGGCAGAACAACGTCTGCCTGGCGAGCTATTAAAGTTGCAGACTATTTACGTCCCACTGCTGGGCACAGGCCTCCTCTCATTTCTGAGAGGGTTTTAGGGCAAGGAAATGTCCGCCGCGCTGCCCCAATGCGTGTTGGTGAACTTCACATGTCTTCGAAATATTTTTTTTCTTTTTTCTCAGACATGCAGGTTTCCTCACGATGTTTTCCTTCACCGCCGAGCACGTGGTAAATCAGCACTTAAAATTGCAATTAACAATTTCATTGGTGCCGGTGGGGATCGAACCCGGGTTGGGCGAGCTAGTATACATATACGTTGCAGATTGCGTTACACATGCGTGTGCTTTGTATTGTTGTTATTTTCTTTTGTATTGTTGTTGGTTGACTGTCTCCTTAGTCTAGTGTTCGTTAGCGTGACTACTGATCTGATAAGGTCCCGGGATTGATTCTCGAGTCGGACTGAATCAGTCAGTATTGGGTTTTTCTGACAATGTATTCTCGGTAGCAATCCGATGTCAGGTAGTTGGCAGTGTACCCCTGCGCCTCGTGAAGCTCATAAAACCGTTGGTCTGCACCTGATCTTTATTCGGTCGTGTCGAATTGTCGTCCCATCGGACTATGAAAGTGAAGGAACACAGAAAACGTGTTTGCATACACACACTCGTGCCCTATTCTATAATCCTGTCTTGCCTAGATAGTTGCTATTTGTCTTTTAACCATTTACAATTTTTTTAAGTAGTGAAAAATATTTCCAACTAATTTACTAATACTCGTATAGAAAGATGTGTAAATATGCAAAAATGGTACCTCACAACAAATCTGAGAACTTAAAACCTTTAGAATTTAAATGCCTCTAGTTCTATTTACTAACAATATAAAACACGGAATATTCTGCTTTTTTTTTTCGCTGATATCCTGTGAGATAAAACTATTTTGTGAGTAATACATAGTCGGGTCATTAGTTCTGTCAAAACCTTATTATTTAAAATTTTCAATACTGGCTAGATGATCTTCACCAATTTTAAAAATAATAATATTGCGCTTGCCGAAAATAAAAAAAAATTTTTTTATAAATTTTCAAATATGGAGTGGTCGAAGAAAGAAGATACAGTAGCGGTTATCGCATTGCACCGCTGTGTGTGGTTACGCGCCAAAAGATATTTCCCATATTCTACAAAAATTGAAAATAACCCTACGATTTTTTATCGCACTATCAAACGAGTTACTGAAGATTCAAGCTTCCAAGATCGTAAGAGGACCGGCCGACCTCATACGGTTAGGACACCCGCGATCATCAAAGCAGTGAAGGCGCGAATCCGACGAAATCCAGAAACAAAGATGGGCCTAAGCAGAACCATGGTCAAAAGACTGATCAATGAAAACTTTATGACTACGAGCTTATCGTAAGAAGACCGGAGATTTTTTGAACGAGCGTTTGAAAAAAAAATTAGGCTGGATAGATCCCGCGCTTTGTTATGGCCGTAGGCGGGAAAAAAATACCGCGAAATTTTGGTTTCGGATGAAAAAAATTTTAACATCGAAGAAAGTGGTAATAAACAAAATTATAAGGTGTAAACCCACAGCAGTGAAGAAGCCAGCACGCGTATTCCGAGTGTTCAACGAGGACATTATCCTTCGTCACTCATGCTTTGGCTTGGAGTCTCATATTCAGGCTTAACTGAGGTGTTTTTCTGTGAAAGGTGTAAAAACCAATGCCCTCGGCATTGGTTTTTACACCTTTTACCAAAATACCATCCTAACAAACATAGGGGATTCTCTTTCTCAAAAAATGTTCGAAAACAGACATTGGATATTCCAACAGGACTCTGCACCAGCTCATAGGGCACGAAGCATGCAAAACTGATTGACCGCCCGTGGAATTGACTTTATCGGACATGAAGACTGGCCCCTTTTAGTCCACTGGATTACAAGATATGGCAACATTTGGAGGAGAAAGTCTGCGTTAAAGCTCAGCAGAATTTGGAATCTCTCCGAGCATCTTGGCTAAAGCAGCTGCAGAAATAGATATGAATGTGGTGCGTGCTGCGATTGATGATTGCCCGCGTCGGTTAAGGGCATGTATTCAAAATAGGGGAGGGCATTTTGAATAATGTAAATAAAATTGTATTCTAAATTAAATTACCTTTCATTTCATATATAATTTCTATATAGTTATCAAAAAATGTATCATTAATTTTATAAAAACTTTTTGACAGAACTTATGACCTGACTATGTATATAGTAAAAATGCCCCGCAGGGTGTCGTGCTAGTCCTTCTCAGTAAAGAGATTTTTTTCCGTATAGATACCGGCGTCACTTGTTCATGCGCACCTTTACTGGGTGGTAAAAGTAAAAAATCACTATTAATAAGAATTATTTGAAATCTATATTGATAGAGCTGATAGAGAAGAAATAAGGAGAAACTGTTCCGTTAATACTTTTATTTATTGTTACAGTGAACCAGAACCAACATCAAAATGACACTTGGCAGATCATGGTCCTACACAATCGGTAAGTCAGCCATGTTTAAATTGTTTATAATAACAAAAAACAAATAACCGAACCAAAATAACTGCTTTTGGGAAAAAATCAAGCGACAATAAATCTAGGCCTTATTTCATTATTTTACATATTCTATAGATTATTGCAGCAACGAAAAGTTAGCTTAAATTGACTTTGAGATAAAAATATGCAATCATTATACTTACCCTAGCAAACACGAGATTAGATTAATTAGGCTACATAATCGATGTATTCGGTGACATGAACAAATATTTGAAAATAGTTAAAACATAATATATAACGCACAGAGTGTTCGTTATAAGTGCTAGCAAGATAAAATGCATTTATATTGCGAGCCCTTTGAGAGGCATAGTTTCTGCGTCGAAACTCATACCCACATTTATTTAGAGTCCATGTTTATAAATATTACATAATATATGAAGTTGTAAATTCTGTTTTTTTTTAATATAGAATAAGGGTGATAACGAGCACACAGTCCACCTGATGGTAAGTGGATACTGTGGCCCATAGACATGTATATTTATCCTCGTTTAAAAATCAAAATGCAGGTGCGTTTTCACCCCTGAGGATTAAGATGGAGTGCCTCGTTCCCAGTAAAAAGGGTATCCACTTCTCTACACTATACGAAACACAGAAGCATTAAGCTACTATTTTACGCTGGTATTCTGTGAGAGCGTGGTCCGAACCCAGTCGAGCCGACCCATTCGTGCCACAACCATATAGCTGCAGCGTGGCTCCAAAACGTAAAAATGTCTGTCAAGCTAAACGCTCCATAGTATCTATAGCCTCTAGTCGAATCGCGCTCCACAACCCTCCCAGAAATGAGTAAAAGCCTGTGCCCAGCTGTACGTGTATATAATATTAAAAGTATTTTATACTTTAAATAAATAGATTGACTTAGTCATCCCATTTAACAATCTAATTTAATATAATATGTATTACTTGAGAGATACATTGTGTTTTCATGCGATGACCAAGTCAATTTATTAATTTAAAATATAAAAGATTTTTAATATTGATGTGGTCACTATAAGATGTTGTTAGGTTAGCAAATTACGTAATAACTTAAGACAAAAGGACCATTAAGTAGGGACTGAATAAATTAACCGACTTGGTATTACATGGATCTCACAACTTTTTACGGTAGAAGAACTGAGTTGCGAGACTTGGTTTTTTTACAAGTTATGTTTTTGATGGCATTAGTTTTTACTCAAATAGCCCCCGATATATTACTAAGCAATTGATCAAGGAGACCCGTATTCAGCAGTTGGATGGCTGGGTGGGGATGAACTGAAGTTACTACTTACATTTATGGTAACTGGTAGCTTGCAAGTGACTCTAAATGATGATATATTTTTTAAAGTTAGCCCTACACTAGGATTTCATAATACGTACTTTGTACTTGTACAAACATCCAGACCCCGAACAATTATTTGTAGGCCATACAGACACTGCGCTACCGCATTTTTAGCTTAATATTAAGGATTTTAAGTACAGTGGAAAACAGTATCACAATTAAACAAACCAGAAATAACCAAAAATGTTTGAAAGCAATAGCAATTCATTTTTATATTACACGTCTAAGTAATCTTATTTATGCCAAATGACATAGATGTGTGTAATCTTTGTTTTTATACTTCTAAATTAGTTTCTAGTAAATTTTTCCTAATTTTTTGTATTATTCACTAACTCTCACAATTGTTCTTTATAAAAGTTAGTAGTACACAATTAAGTTGCCAGTATTAATCAAAAAATCAGTGTTGAATAGACAATTGAATCCCCAATTTAGATTGTCTGATATGGAAAACTTCTGTATCTGAATAAATGAATCAATGAGCTAGAAATAATAATATTATTAATGATGTCTCCGATCAATAACTATATCAGTTCTATTGCTACAAAAGAAACTTTGTCAGAATAGAACAATACCCACATTGTCATTCAATATCAAGCAGTGATTTCTTATTTATTTTTTCTTATTTACTACTGTTTCTTAAATACTTATTTCATAAGACGAACCAGCAAGAAAACCAGCGAGATTATTATTTTTAAATTAATAAATGATAAAAAATTATAAAGAAAGTAGCTATAATAAAGGTTTTATTAGAACATTGAACACTTTCTGATATTTTGTTGTAAAAACATAGGAATATGTTCTCTCATATACGAATTACTGACTCTATGGAGTCCAATAATACAATACTAGTTTTTATGAATTTTGTTTTTGTAATAATTGTTGTCACGTAGATAAGTAGAAGATCAATCACTCTATTTTATCCAATAAATAAAATAATTCTGTAGCATCCAACAAATGGTCAATACATAAGAAGAAGTGCTGCTTGTGAGGTATATATATAGCCTGCTGGGGTTTGCTATTCACGTTTGAGCTAAAAAATTTAGAAACTAGTTTTTTTTTTATTAGATAGCCCTTCTAATAAAAAAAAACTAGTTTCTAAATTTTTTAGCTTACATGCTTCAGTTACCAAAATGATCTTACAAAAAAAATCATATTATTTCCTTATAAATAAAATGCAAAAAAGATAATATGGAGTTTTTATATCGCCACTCCTCATTTTGAAACATTGGCTAACATTGGCTAGACTAAAAAAAGGCTTGTGAGAAACTAAACTTTAATTTATTTTTCGAAATAAAGGGTTTTTATTTTATTTAAAAGACTATTCTTTTTAGTGGTAGTTCTATTGGAAGACAACAACTACCCAACTACGCAGAAATTATTGCAGTGTCTACAACCCATGTTATTTTGATTAAAATATGTATAAATCACTTACTGAGCGGTGGTGAATTTCTTGAGAGAAGCCTACGTTCAGCACTGGATTTGTCACTGCTGAACTGATAGTGAAATGATGATGATGATAATAAGAATCGGATCTTTTACGACCATCGCAAGCGTTAATTACAATGGTTTAATCTAAGTGCCCAAGCCAATTATTCCCCGAAACGAAAGATTTGCAAAATATGGTGAAGAATATATAGAATAGAATAAAATGATTTTCGTCACTGCTTCTTCGCGATAACGCCCAGCCACATAGGAATTCCTAAATAACAGTAAACAGTAACACTTTCTACATAACATACGTGGGTGAAATTTGCAGGGCTAAAAGCTAAAGCGCTTACCCATCCACCAATCAGCAAACTTAAAATGTACTAATGAAAAAATATGTAAAGTATAGCTGTAATACGCCCGAAACATCAACAATTAAAAATAAATAAACTAAACGCAATAAAATCCTTAAAAATAGATTTTTTGAAACTGTTATTTCAGTTTTCTCATAAAAAAAAAGTAATTTCAAAGGTAAACATTACATTTTTAAACATACATTAAATGTATGGTTAAGTCTGGCTAATTCCCACGCATTTGCTTATCCTCGCCGAAATAATGAAAACGCGTTGCGTAATTACAAAAAGTTCAAACAGTCTTGAAGAGCTGGAGAGACATTGTTATCTTTTAAACAATAGCTAAATAACCGTTTTTGTGTTCGTATGGCCTTGTAGCCCAGCGCCCCGGTTGAACTCCTAATTATTTTCTATAATTAAAAAGCATATATGCAAACATATACATGTATATGTATGTTATATGTGCACTACGTTTATACATGGTTATTTTGCAATAATCTGCCAAATTTGCAGAGAAGGTTCAGAATAAGTAATACAAGCAAATCCTCTTGATCCTCATGGTCCTTGAAAGGTCTTTTTTTTAAATCTTTTTTCTTTTAAATTCCATATGCATGTTAATGTGTTATTTTAAATTATTTTAATGCGCACGCAGTGAAATCAGTTAAAATCAATTAAACTGATATTAAGACGATCGGTCGGCTAAGACGTGAATTGAATCGCACGCAGATTAGCGTGCGTACGCGTAGTTGTTGCCCTTAAATCACATTCAAATTGGTATAATCTATGCAAATAAATAAAATTGAAGTGTCTGTTTGTAATTTTAATAAATAACAGCTTTTTACTAAATGTATATACGGTACTTATAACAAAAATATAATTTTTTAAATTTTTGTCTGTCTGCCTGTCGGTCTGTCTGTCTGTCTGTTTGTTCCGGCTAATCTTCGAAACGGCTGGACCGATTTCGTCGGGACTTGCACTGGCAGATAGCTGATGTTCTAAGGATTAACTTAGGCTACTTATATTTGAGAAAAAGAATTAGGGTTCTGAGCAATATTATTAAAACCCTAAATTACACGCGGGCGAAGTCGCGGAGAACAGCTTGTTTCAGATAAAAGTAAAAGTCTTATTTACTCGTATTTTCAAAAACTGCAATAACGGTATATCAATATTTATATATTTCAACTTAAGTTTAAAATTTGGCTACTCTTGAAAAATAACTCTGTATAACACATATAGTAGTTACATGTATATTTATAAACATAACATACATATTATACGTATATATAGTAGACATATCACCTTTTCAAATATGTTTGCCTGTTAACAAATTAGCAGAGATATAACGAAGAGTGAATGCAGGACACAAAACGGGGCTCTTTACTCTACGTCTGTAAGCAGAATATGTCAAAAAAGCACGTATAGTAACAAAGCTGTGTTAGTACCTACTTTAATATACGGTAGTGAAATTTGGATATGGCAGAGAAATTTGGATAGTATGAGAGCAAAATTATTAAATTCGATCATTAAGATGTTGTTGTGTGACCCTGAATGAGACGGTGAGAAGCTGTGTGATAAGAGAAAATATAGTTTGCAAGACAATGGTGGGACGATGGATTAAGAAAAGAAATGCCTCAAGATTAGGACATGTAAAAAGAAGGGTACCGAGTAAACAATTGCAAAGCAAATTTATGCTGCAGAAGTTAGTGACAGAATGGCCAAGGAATGCCCTAAACGAAAAACCGAACAATTCGTGATATATTAAAGACATTTATTTGTAGATATAGATGTGAAAGATGCGAGAGAGATGTCTCTTTAGTAGAAGTCCGCAAATGGAAGTCTCTACATACCTCTCT